GCCCCGGGAAGCAGCATAGCCCCTCAGCCTCAGCCTCTATGCCTTCGATCCTGCGATCCTACGATCTTCCAATCCTCCTATTCCCCAGATCCCGAGGATTTCTCGGCCAACCCCCGATCTGACAGAATTGATATACTTGCCGCACGCTGCTCGCCGAACAGGAGCAACAGGCAATAACAGCCAGAAAGGGTTAAGGAGGGAGGAACTCACTTAGCATCCTCCTCGCAGGATCGCTTCCCTGGCCAAAGGGAGGTGCAAAAAGATCAATGAAGGACAACAACAATAACAGCCACTGGGCAAACGAATGATCGAAGTTCGACCCAACTCAGGGAGCCAAAGATAATGTTTGTGTTGCACCTCTAAACAGATTAGCTTTTTTTTTCTTGTTGGTTTCTTGTTGCTTTAATAAAAAGGGAAGCGTCTAAAAGATCAAACAGCCTGTAGCTGGGAAGTTTACCAGTGGAAGACCTAAATGGATTAAAGTAGTATAAAATATCACACCACAAAATTGGTGATTGACAAACTAAATAAATTACTAGATGTTTTCAGTTAGCTGTAGCTTTTCATCTTTGAAAGTCAATGATATTATACTAAATAATAAGATCTGATGGAAATCATATGGAAATGAACTTCGAACAAATCATTTTTGGGTACAAAAGGCTCGTTCCTGAAGAATTCGCGGTTGCTTCTTTGATAACCATTACATAGAAAAAGTTACATATAGTAAAATGAACATTAAACTAAATAATAAGATCTGATACAAGTCATACAGAATTTAACAATTAATTTTTGAGACTGAAAGGACCTCGTTTCTAAAGAATTCGCGGTTGCTTCTTTGATAACCATTACATAGAACAAGTTACATTCAGTAGAATGAATATTGATCTAAATAATAAGAGCTGATATGTATCACATGATATGTATGACATGTGTCATACAGAATTGAACAAATAGTTTTTGGGACCAAAAGGACCTCGTTTCTAAAGAATTCGCGTTTGCTAACCATTACATACAAAAGGTTACAGATATTAGAACCTGGGAAAATGTATAGATCTATGACACTAATAAACTTTATTAGATATAGAAGGATAGTCATGATGCTTAAAGAACTTCCTAAAAATAGGATTTCCCTTATATAAAAATAATTTCAACTACCATCTTGTTAAGTCCTTGGCTGCAAATACTCAAACTTCTTTTAAATATGCAGTCCATACAAATATTATTTAAATGGTGCTAAGATTGCCAAATATATTATTCTACTTTTAGTTCCATCATGACAGAACTTAGAATTTAATATTAATATAATAAGGAATGTTTTAAAATTCGAACAATTTAAGATCTTAAGATCTTAGGGTTTCTTTAGGATTTTCATGAAAGTAAACTTATATTAAACGTCTAAAAAGAAAAGATCTAGGATGTATTAGAATGCTATAAACCTTTTAGAAGAATTGGATGAGAGAGATTATTATTTTTCATGCTTCTACCAACTCGCCCACAAACTTGCTGTTGCAACCTAAGACGCGGATAGCGATTCTTTTCCAGCTCAGAATCCAAGTTCCCGCTGCGACACAGTTTGTTGCGTGTTAAGCCGCTTGTTGCAACAACTGCTAAGCCGGTAGGCGAATAAAAAAACTAAGAAAAAATCCCAATCCCAACTAATTTCCTGCAGGAATGCAAAGTAAACAAAACAGCAGAGTGGTGGCAAAAATACGATATAATAATAAGAAAAATCCATGGCCAGAGAACTGAAAGAATCTCACAAGAAAAGATATAAAAAAAAAAAATACAGCAGCAAAGGCACACAACGACAATCTTTTTCTGTAGCAATTGGTTTAATCCGCCAAAGGAAACATGCCGCTGCCGCAGGAGGCACATCTTTTGCCAGGTTTGATTTGCTTTTTCGCTGCTTTTGCTGTGCTTTGCCTTGCTTTGGTTCTAATATGTGGTGTCTTGGTCTTGGGATTTTGCTTAGAAAGAAGGGTTGACCCAGAACGCCGGCAATCGCGATGAGATGAGATCTCATCTCTGGAATCTGTTGGTTCGTCGTTCCTGAGTGTTTTATGTTTGCTGTTCGGCTCTGTGTGCGTGTCTTGGTGATCTCATGATCAGGTTTCTCAGGAGAGTTGGCGTTTTGCTGGAAATATGATTTTGGCTGAGTTTTTAGGGGCTTTCCTGCCCGCTTTATTGTTGTGTGTATTTTTTTGTTCTTAATTTTTTTTGGTTTTGCCCCTCGTGATGGTTGGTTTTCTAGTCAGTCGCAGCGCTAAAAAACACGTTTCTCATATTTCCAACTCGCTCTCATTTTTGCTGGCAGTGAGCTCAAACATTTTTAATTATTATGCGAGAGTAGGCTTTGCCCTTCTTTTCTAATGTTTGTTCACTTGCGGATGGGGAGGAGCTGCTTGCCAATTTGTCCTTTGCCACTTGGCCGCTGGCTTCGCCTAATCGCAACCCTTTTGCCTCTGTATCTGCCATCTGTATCTGAATCTGCGTATCTGCATATCCGCATATCTGCGTATCTGTGTATCTTTGCCTCTGCCACTTAGCCTTAAGAAAGCGTACTCTGTGGAAGCCAGGAGCAAATTTGATTCCCATCGATTATCAGGGAGCAGGGAGCAAGCAGCAGAGGGAGTCTGCTTCCTTCGCCGCCTGATCCTCTAGATCCTGCTGATTTTCTGCTACTCGCCTCTTTTGATTGACAGTCAAATTAGTAGAGCTCCTTGGAAAGCGACAGGAGGCTGGGATCCGTATTCCATTTGCACAAATTTGGGGGTTGGATTGATTGGATGGATGGATGGATGGATGGATGGTTGGATGGATGCGATCTAGCATCCTAAGCCTTAGAGCAACAGCTGCTTCTCATCGAACAACGGGGCCTGACCTTGGTTTATTGCGCTCCATTCATTCCAATCGCCCCCGCCTTTGTCGTCACTTCACAATGCCAGCAAAAATCAAGCCAAAAACCCGATTCACATGAGCCCAGGTTTATGTGTATGCATCTACATGTATGGAGATGATTATGCACTGAGCGAAACAAATATAATCTATTATTAACGATAGAACAGTGTTTAGTTAGGATATTAATTGAATATATATATACCTAATCCACTTCTGTTTTTCATTTGCAAAGGGGTTTCAATAGTTATCAATCTGTATTCCATTCCACATTTCGATAATCTTATACTACATATATTATATAAATATATAACAGTATTGTAAAAGTAATAACTACAAACTACAGTTTTTACATTTTGAAATTTATATTTAGAGGGAAAGTGGTTTTGAATCCGTTAGAATAATAACTAGACATCGAATTATATGCGAAATATCATTCAGAATATTTTATTCCAAACAAACTTTTGTTAAAAAAAAGTATTTCTCCTAAATTCGTAACTTAATTTAAGCTTAAACAAGTTGAATTATTGGAAAATAATCATACTAAACAGACTAGAACGTTAAGAATGCTGTTTGCATATAATCCTATGATAGCAATTCAATTGGGAATAGATTTTGCTCAGTGCACCATCGTTGTATAGAATCAAATGAATGAAATCAAGTACTGAGGGATTGGCGGGGGAGGCGCTGGTACACTTTACCTACATTTGTCCAAAAACAAAATATGCCCTGGCCCATATTGAGTTTGTTTTTTTGGGGATAGTTGAGAATGGGGTAGTGTGGAGAAGGGGGGTTTTTTTGGTAGGACGGGTAAGGCGTAGCCCGCCAAATTTCCGCTGCCGGTGAATCGGGAATTGCGAATTGCGAGCTGCGATTGCTGGAAGTTGAAGTTGTTGCACAGCGGAAGAGCAGAAGGACACCGACTTTGGCAAATCGCTCCGGACAGCAAACAGGATGCACATTTTTTGTTTTGTACTCCTGCCCCAGGTAGACAGGTAGTCCAGAATGCCCAAGTGTGCGAGTTGTCAGGTACAAAACAAGCACAGTCTTGGCCTGCCCTAATTTCAAGGTGATGCTGTAACCAGGTTAAGCATTTGACAGACGTTTAAGGGGCCTCGAGGATCTCTTTCTGAGTTTGGCATTACGTTTTGCTTTCTTTTTGAAGTATTACTTTCATTGACTGATTGGGAATCCTTTATTTGCTAAATGTTTAAAGAATCTTCATTCTTATGGTTCGATCTGGAGATTTCTCTCAAATAATATAAAGTATTTTCGGTAATATTGTTTTAAGATTCCCCCTTATGTAAAAATCAATCATTATCATTGAGTTTCCTTGCGAATCTAACAGCTTTGCACTCCGATTAGCCAAGTTATCGTTCATCGAACATCGATTATGCTGCATCTAATTTCGAATCATCTTCCTGCCTCTATCTTCCTCCCTCCGTCTCTTTCCCACTTTCTGGCGGCAAATTCTTGCTGGTTTCGTTTCTGTTGTTCTTCTCTTCTTCTTTTTTCTACCACATTTTTGTGTGCGCTCCTTTTTGTGTTTGTGTTCATTAGAAATTTCCAAGAATTCGAACGACAACGCACACATGCGCAGGGGCCCGACTTAAACGGAGAGAGAGAAGAGAATAGCGAGGTATGAAAGATCTGGAGATTCGTGTTACTGCTGGCTTAGTTTTCCAAAACCAAAAAACCGAAAATGGAAAAAAAATACAGCCAAGGATGAGGCAAAAACACACGTTCGTGTGATTTTTGGTACAATGAGCGAAAGAGGTGGCAAGATTGGAGCGAGGGAGATGGGGCGAGAAATTCTCATTCCACCGTTTTATAGATCGATGCATCACCCGTATTGAATTGAACTTGAAAAATATCATAAGATGTTGTATGTATGTATTAGTATTAGTATTAATACCTTTAACCATAGAAGAATTCAGTATTTAAAGATTTGTGCATTTTGAATAGGACAAAACTTACTTAAACTTATTTTTAAATATTCGTAAATCCTTAAAAACATCCCTATTGTTAGTTCGGCAACACTTTTTGCCTTGAGAGCCTTGAAAATTCAGCCAAAACCAATTTTGAATTTAAGATTACACACATACCTTCAAACATAAGTTTTAAGAAAATGAAAGGTGTCCCGATCCTAATGCGATCCGAATGTGCTATTGTCCTGGGCTATTGTTATCGACCTGCGGGCACCGCTCTAGGGATATGGGATAGCAACTGTTGTTGTTCCGGTCGGTACACGTGGCAGGAGGACACCTTTACCTTTCCAGGACTTTCTTCCCCTGTTGGGACCACTTTCTTTGCGTCTTTTCTTTTTTTCACCAGCTGCCAGTTGCGAACCGACCAACCCTTTTCGTGTCGTCGAGTGTTCCCGCTGATCTTCGAGATCCCCGTGATCGTGGCGTGTTCGACACGCAGGTAGGACCTCGAAATTAGTTGACAGGGTCCTGGGTCCTCGAGTCCTGTTCGCGATATTTCGCCCTTTTTCGGGTCCTCTTCCTGTCTCTAGCCCGTTGTTTGTTTTATATGTGCCTTCCGCGAGTGAAGAAAGCATTTCACCGATGGGTTAGGGGTTGCGACTCCCGATTCCATGCCTTTCCATTCGATTCGTTTCGATTCAATTCGCGTTCAAGTCGACAGCTGCCAAAAAAGCTTGTTTCGGTTTCTTTGGCGCGAGCAAAGCTCGGCGAAAGCTTTCGCGATGTTCTTCTGTCCACACAGTCGTGACCAGCCAACTATTTTTTTTTGAAAATTGATAGAAATTACTTATGTTAATCTGATTCAGCTAAATTAATAAAATAGTGTCTATTTTTGTTCTATTATATATGACCAAATTTGTTGAAAAATCTGTTATAAACATAATTTCAATTAAGTATTTGGTAACCAATAAGAACTAAATTCAATATGAGAAGTGGAATAGCATATGAAAATGTCTACAATGAAAAGCACCTGCACCTACAAGCCTGTGTTCAATACCTCTTGCTGCCCAATGTAAACTTCTTATACTTTTTCTGCATAGTAAATAAAATTTTTTATATTTGAATATCAAATTAAATGCTACTATAAAATAATACATAATCAATACGTCATCCAATTGATGTACAATATTACGTAACTAAATTGTTTACGTACCTTATCATATTTGTAATTCCCAAATGGGACACTGCTATAAAAATGACCGCTGCTGTGGCTGCGAGTTTGTATCGAGTTTTTGGGGTTTGCGCACTATCAGCGATTCGCTTCACTTTTCTCTCCTTATTTCTGTATTAACTTTAAGCGGGTTGTTGCCGCCTGTTTACAACTGTTTTTACCGTTGCTTTCGCTTGATTCCGCCGGTTTTGCGGTCAAAACATATTTTTCAAAAAAGATTTATGCTAGTAAGAGCAAAGGAAAGGGGAGAGGGAGAGATAGAGTCACACTTGGCTGCAAAAAATTTGAATTTAGGGATAGGTACAAGAAATAATATCATTGATAGCCGCCAATAAAAGTATTACAACTTAATTTCTAATTGGAAATTAGATGAGTATCATAAATATAAATACTAAGAAAGTCTAGATAAATAAATTAGCTAGTAAAAAAAAATGTAGCTTTTGTTCTACATTTTAATAAAATCCTTTAAAGAATAATAAAAAACAGTTGCAGTTTAATAACAATTATTGCAACAATATAAAATGATCACTTGCTTTTGGAAAGTCATTACAAAATGTAATTCTAGTTTTCCCATTATTAACAAAATATAATAAAATGTTCTAAACATAAGTTTGTTTGATACACTTTTTTACAAGATCACTGGACTGAAAACCGTTAAATACAGCACTTAATTATGTTTACTTTGAACCGCGACCGTCTGGCAACGCCATATAACGTAACCGCTTAACGTGGTCATTTCTCCTTCTCCTACTTCTGCCGTCTTCTTTTCGCAAGCACTCACACCACAACACCACATACGGTCGAAAACAAAACCCGAAGTTATTCTTATTGGAGCTCGGCAGCTCTCTCGCTCGCTCGCTCACTCACTTGTCGGCTACTCTCCTACTCTCTTCGCTTATATTTTTTTTAAACTTTTTTTGTCCACATTCACATTTTCGCATTCCCGTTCGGTTCGCCTTTGGCTGAGCTCAGTATTTAAATACTCTCTGCATTTTGCGGTCGTCTTTTTCGGAAATACGCGCGGCGTAGTTGCACAACAACAACAACAACCACAACATTAGCGACAAAAGAGCAACAACTAAAGCAACAGCAACAACACGGCTAATTTCACAAATCAAAAACTGAAACGGCAAAAATTATAAAATATTATAGGAGCGCGCGTGTGTTTGTGAGTGTGCGTTTGCCTTGGCCAGCAGTTGTTTTTATTATTTCATCCTACGCCTTGCCCACCTCGTTCTTTAGTGCGAAATAAAACGCGAAAATTGAAAAAGTTGCAAAAAACTAGCGCCTTGCATTTTGCTGCGCTTCTTTTTTTTGCCCATACGAATTTGGCATTTAAACACCAGAAAAAGCTAAGAAAAAAAAAAAAACAACAGTGAGTGTGTGAAGAAGAAACGAAAATAGAAGGTGTCTCGATTTTTTTCCACGCCCTGCTGCCTCCTCTGTTTCGTAGTTTTTTGTGCAGTTTTCCTTTTTTTTATTGTTTCTTACAACAGTTTATCTTTTTGCACACACAGACACAGAGAAAAAACAAAATTCTTGGGCCGGCTTTTCTTCTCGGTCTTTTTCTCCTTCGTCTTCTACTCATTCGCCCTGGAAAATGTGTGTGTGTGCGAGAGGCAACAATAAAAATCAATTTAGATAAACTGACCTACTTCCCACTAACTCGCTAAACGCAACAGTTGGCAACCCTGCTATGCTGGCCGCTAATTAGCCAAACACGTTTTTTCCAGTGGAAAAACATAACGGTTCACCGATAAGTATCGATAGGCAGCCAGCGAGATCGACTGCGCTGCATTCTATCCATGCATGTGTGTGCGTGTGAGTCATTGGAAGAGAGAGGGGGGAAATAATACAAAAAAAAAGAACACGCCAGCGCATCCAGAAAAAAATCACAGTCCAACGGCGAATTAAAGCCCATACGCATGACCAAAAGAAAAAAAGAGACGAGGAGAAGGAGAACCGAAAGAGATACACCAAAATCATATCAGCAAAAGCAATTTTTTTTGTTGCCCCTACTTCTACACAGTTTTTTGTGTGATTAACAAGTGAGCGCGTGGATCGGGAAAGTGAGACGGAAGATGGTGGGAGGAGGAGGAGGAGCAGCAGGAGTCGGAGGAGAGCAGAGAGTGAGAGTGAGAGAAACATTCTCCATCTTCACTTCCCCCACTCTTTCTCTCTGTAAGCGTGTGTGTGTGTGTGTGCGTGATATATTTGTCATAAATGTTCTCTTCTTCTTCTTCTGCTTTGCCTTAGTTTTTTTTTGCGAATTGTGAAATAGACAAAATCGAACAAGTTCATAGGAAGGCAAAATAAAACAAAAAAGAAACAATCAGAAAAAAACCAATGCCAAAGTGTGTGATCGGTTAGAAGAAGCGAGTGCGTGGAAGGAAGTGGGGAAAACACACTAAAATAGAGAGAGAGCGAGGGAGAGAGAGCGCCTTATTAGAGATAAGAGAAAAGTTTTGCAAAGACAAAAGTCACAGCAACAACAGTCGGCTAGCGCAAATAAAAGAACACAAAAAGAAGCAAATACAAAATGCACAGCAACAACAATAGCAGCAGACTCAACAACAACAACATAAGCAACAACAACTTTTATCAACAAAAATCGTTTATACGGTATTTGGATCGGTGAGTTATACGTGTGTCCCCTTACCTCTCCCCAAAAAACAATCCCCCTCTCCTTGCATTACATACAAAAATATTTATTTTATTGGCTCAAACACTAAATGTTTGACCCACTGTAAGCACATGTAAGCCATACACATACATACACACCTATGTAGAATTCAATTTCAATCATGCTAGCAAAAGGTGCGAATTATGTACATCAAATCAAAGTCATATGTTGGGTATTTAGACCGCATTTATAAGACCACGACCACGACCAATCCCATTTCCCGCCTTTCCCCGTACCTTCCCCTTTCCCCTCGGATTCCAAAATCTCTGTAAATCTGGATTTATCTGGCACACACACACTCGCACAACTATCGAGATTTTCTCTTTTTATTTACTGATCCAATTGGAACTGGAAGAAAGCACTATGATTCTGCATTTCTTGGCTTAACTTTTAATGCAGTCGTTATGGGTATCAAAAACATTAGATGGCTAATCGATATATGTATATATCATATTTGCAAAAGTATATAGTTTTTTATTTATTGGTTTTGGCGGCAGATGTTTCGAGTTATTACAGCTCAACTGTAAGTCAATATAGGGTAAAAATATGCAAATAAAGCTAAATGATAAGATAAAGGCTAGAGATGTCATACTAAGGATTTCAATATAAATTGGTTAAGGAAAAAATGTTAAAGTTCTTTAAATAAGTTAGGGAACATACTTAAAAAGTAAAAATGAAAATCTCAATTTAAAAGTTTCTTCTCCAGTTCTCCCATTTTAAGAGGCTCAACTTCTCGTCTTCAACTCCACTTTATTTGTTTCTGTTTATTTTTTGCAAAATGGATGGCATATGCACAATGCATGTGGCAGTGCCACGCCCCCTGTTGCATACGGATGCGGACTCTCAGCCAACCAGCCTCCGTGGTGTACCCCTACTCCTGCCTGCGACCACCCTTGTTCGCCATTTTGTTTACGTTTTGCATGATGATGATAATCGCCAAAGCAGCAACAAAATAACAAACGAACAAACAACGAAATAAAAAGCAATTGTACCCCATGGAGAGGAAAATAGAACAAATTTGTCATAGATACATTGTATGTATTGTATATGCACACAATTGCGTTTGAAATTGTAGCACCAAAAGATATCAAAAACGTGACTTTGGGGGCTTTTGGTAAATCAGTCATTTGACTTCGCAAATAATGACTCATTACATTTTAGCTTATGATTACTTAAAAAAAAATATATAAATATATAATAATTCTCTGTTGTAAAAAATTCCTTCAATGCATACAATATTTATTTGATCTTTAATCTTAAACTAAACTTATGAAGGATTATTATTGAATTAAAAAAAAGAATTTAAATAATATTGCATGTTTTGCTTACTAATCAGTGGTCATTTTCTAAACCATGTTATATAATTTAAAAGAGAAGTGCTATTTTTGTGGCCGCACTTGTATTCGGCTTGCATTGGTGGATCCCCCGACAAACTGAAGGTGACAGATTCGCGATAGGCTCCCCAGTGGGTGTTGCATTTGTCACGTACCGTGGGGGTGCAGTGGGGAGGGGGGCGGGGCGACAATGGGAAGCGTCCCCACACCACCGTACACCAATTTAGGTCAAACCAGCCAGCAACAATGCAAGCGTTGTGCTTTTCCCCTCCCCTTTTTCTCTGCACTTTCCTTCTTCTCCCTTCCTCTGACTAAAGCACCCCTCACACCGAAAAAAACAACCTTTCATGAGTAATGTAACATCGAGATACATTTTCTGTTGCTTCATGTTCATATGTAATAATAAGTATTTGCCCTGAATATTAGAGAAATTTCAAGCCAATGGCGATTTTTTTAAATAAATATAACAATTTTGTACTCCTAAATAAAGTCTATGTTTTAAATGATACCAATTTCTTCTAAAATTTAAAATATATTTTTCAATTCAGGGCAAAAACTTTTTAAGTGTGGTAACACAAGTCCGAGTTCAAGTCCCACCCACAGGTCGAAGAATTTTAATATGTAAATAATATTATTTTTGATATATTTATATTGGTATATCAAAGAACAATTTAAAAAGTATTCTATGTGGCATAGTTTATGTGACAAAATAAAATTCTGCATAAGTAACATCACAAAATTGTATCTTTCTATGTAGCTGGAAACTGAAAAACAAGTTTTTCTTTTCCATATGTTGACAAATCAAAATCCTTCGCTAATTTTTTTTTATAATTTTTTGCCATGGGCGTTGCAAAGAAGTGCTGGAAAAGGGGCGAATAGTTAAGCTTGGTAAATAAAATGCAAGAAAAACCAGAAATTATAGGAAAGGCAACAAATGAGAAAACTAACCTTAGTCGATTGTGTGTGTGTGTGTGTGTATGTTTGTTTGTTTGTCAGCAACTTGTGGAATGTGCCATGGAAATAGAACGCACATACATACATAAGTACATTTGTAACAAACTTATGTACATATGTATGTATGAGTTTGTGGCACATGCGTCATTCAGCGCAGTGTAAATACGAAGATTTCGTATATTCATGAGACAAAAATAACGTTGCAATGCAAGAAGAAAAAACAACAACCAGCAGATTTCCGACTTTTTCATTCATAAAAA